TGGACCACGGACCTATATTTTTATCAACGCAGTCTCCTGTAATAATTTTATCGTTCAGATTTCGTCCACGGATAATCAACTTCTCACATTTCTCACATATGCCGGTTGCACGTTGTCAATAGTCTGTCTCACCTTGACATTCCTCTGTTTCGTTATTTTTGTCAAAGGAGGAGGCGATAGGTACGAGTTTTCCACTTTTTCTTCCTATTATTTTCGAAATCTCCTAAATATCGTGTGCAGTAAGTTACGGAGTGAATTTCAGGGTTTTTATTCATAAAAATCTTTGCCTTTCTCTTGGTATAGCCGAAGTGGTGTTTCTGGCAGGAATTTGGAGAACTGAAGAAAAGGTGTGTTGAGAACGCTTTTGCTAGAGATTCCTTCCTGCTTTCTAATTTTTCTGGAATCCAAGTAGTAACGGAACGGTTTTCAGTTCGAATGCGGTATGATTGCTGGCTGTCTCCTTTATTTCTTCCTGTCAGCCTTGACATGGATGTTACTTGAAGGTTATCAACTTTATCAAATGCTCGTTGAGGTAATTCTTTTGATTTTCGTTGGTCTATTCAACCTGTTTCTATAGGGCGCAGGTGTAGCACAGGTCCGCTGCCTGTATGAGTCTGGAATCTTCTACCCTATCTCTCAATTTCGCATAGCTCCTACCTTTTTCGGAGTTTTTTTTTCTCGAGAGTTCCCAAAATTTCCCTGAAAAAAATCGCCTGCCGACCTAGCGACCAGCGCCGGTCGATACCAGACTGTGTGATTAGGCAATCTCCGATTCCAGCATATCCTTCAATACACAAGCGACGCCAGTCGTTTCCCGTCTGCAGCTGCATACGTGTCTGTAGAATTGGTACGCTGCTGCGGTTGTAGCGCGTTGCAGCGCGTCGACGCGCGGCATCACGAAGTCTGAAAGCTGCCAAGCACTCATGAAAAAGAGAAACCCGAAAAGTCAACGTTCGAAAAATTCTCTTGCTGCTCGTGAAAGTTCCCATCAAGACCAGATACGACGCCGTTGACCAGGTACCGCCCAATCATGACCCCCCCCCTCTCCCCAACGACCAAGGATGATCACTCTACCTGGGGTTCTTCCAACGATGCTGTACCCTGAGTGGACCGCGTACTTGCCTACATCAGCGCGTTCACTGCCCTTTCAACCGGCCGGTTCAAGAAACATGTCGTTTTCCAGGTTTTCCCTGCTTCACGACGCCGACTGACCTTCTTTCTCATCGGTTATGGCCTACCAGCTATCATCACTATGGCGGCCGCCTATTATGATCCAACTGGCTTCGGAACTCCGCAACCATTGCTGGTTTGTTGCTGGCAAATCGACGTTTTTCTCTTGATTGTTGGCTTAGGCTAAGGTGGTTCTTGTTCAGGTTACGCACGGACAACCTTTTCATTTTGTTCTTTGTGGCACCGGCAGCTGTGATTTTATTGGCGAATACAATGTTCCTCTTTATGACCATGTGTATTGTATACAGACATGCCAAATACATTCCCTGTAGGCATGCTACGGACAATGGAGGTGATATTAGGTAAGTTGAAAGATTGTTCTGGAGGAGTTTATGGGTAGTTCCCCTATGTGAATTGATGTCCTATTCACCCTTATTTCAGGACCTGGGTCAAAGGAGCCATGGGTTTGGTTTGTCTCCTTGGCGTCACATGGACTTGTGGTCTGTTGTGGATCGACGACGGACATTCGATAGTGATGGCCTATGCCTTCACCATTGCGAACTCCCTTCAGGGTCTTTTCGTTTTTCTCTTCCACGTGTTGTTCTCAGAGAAGGTGAATATTCAGCTTTCCCCTATGAAAACCAAGTTCTTTTTACTGAAAATATTCTATTGCAGATGCGGTACGATGTTTCGCGATGGTGTAACGCACACCGCCTCTTTTGTTTTGGGAACAACTCACGGGACACCTCCAGGGATCCCCAGAAACGTGGGACCATGTCTCCGTCAGAGAGAAGTGGCAGCGAGTTCATTGTGGGTTTCTGCACTCTTACTTACTACTGTTTTATATTCGAAAATATCAGAATCAAAGGGTATCTTCCGACTTCTGTGGCCCACTGAGAGTTGTCTTAGAAGCAGCCATCCAACCTCGACTGAAGCGGGACATGTGGAAATTGAACAATAACTAGAGGTCACTATAGTTGGGGGGGGGGAGGAGGGAGCACGCTGTGGCATAACTGCAATCTTTTTCTACGGACGCTGAGGCGTTTAAAGGGGTTCTCCACCGATTGTGGAAGTTACCAAGACACCAGGGAATGGGGGTGGAGGGGACTGGGCTCGGTGCACACCAGTCTGTTCTCCACCAATTGTGCTGTCCTGCCAGCTTCCGCAATCGGTGGAAGAGCAGGCTGGCGCCGCACCAAACCCAGCTTCCCCCTTCGCTTGTGACCCCCTCCCTGGCATCCGCGGAGAACAAGATTGCAGCTCCTTGCAGCCTTGCTTCGGAACGCATGCGGACTGCAGGTCGCTCCAGTGGCGAGGTCGCGCGAACACCGAGGCTGGGCCTGAGTAGATGAAGGGATTACTGTCATCAATAGGGCGCATAGGTGCCACTAAATCGTGCCGTCCCCTGGTCCTTCTCAACTGCAGTGGCTAAATATTGAGGCTAAAAACTCTAAGAACTCTCTAGAACGCTCGGTGTTCAGAATGCCTGAGTGACTGCAACTAAACTCCTACACAGCAGTGCCTCTACTCCTACCATTTTGCAAAATTTTTAATCAAATCTTTTTTTTCCAGTATCCCACGTCAGAGAAAATGCACACATCACCTCGTGGATTGGATTCCTCTTTGAGCTCGGCTTATCCGCAACAACCACTTGTACACCACTATCAGCGTCATCCACCACAAGCTAATGGTACGTCCATTCTTTTCAAGAGTCTTGTGGCCAATAACACTTATTCCAAGTCCTTACAGGAGCCTACGACTACGCAACAATTGCGTATGGAGAAATGGTACCGGGCCATATGCTACCACATATGGCCTCGTCGTTTCCTCATCCTGGCGTTGCCGTCCATTACCCACCGTTTAATACGTCATTGGTTCGTGGAAGCGATTTGGACTCCGTCTACCAACCCCAGGTTTTCCACCATCGTCCTCCACCGGACTTCTCACCGCCGCCGCCTCCTAAACAAGGAACAAACTCATCAAAAGTCATCCGACCGCCGTCCTCAAAGATGAGCGACGACTCTGCCTATTCTGATGGAGGATCGTCGTCCGTACTCACCACAGAAGTCACACCTTCCGGAGCGACTGTGCTTCGAATGGACTTGGGCAGAAATCAACAGCCCAGCTACTGGCGAAACGTTTAGCACATTCCTATTATCGCTTCCTAGAGAAAATTCCTTCGGGGTTGTGCGCTTCAGTCACGGTTTTTGAGGATCCGGGTGCTTTTGCAATCATTTCTGTGTTCGATCTTTTCCTTGGTATCCAAGGGCTTTCACCGGCTTCCGGATATTTTATCACTTTCCTGTTCTAATGCTCCAATTGTCATTGAGATCAGCATATCAGCTACGCATCTATGAGCCATTTTTCTCACCATCAAATTACCGGTTCCTTTGTACATTTGTTGATTGTAGTTGTAGCTGTTCTGTAGTTACTCAGAGGTATTTTTGATCTAGTCGAGAATAGCGCAATATTGTTATTCTGTCCCTAACTGCAGTTCCATTTTTATTCCAATTATTGCCTTTTATAGGGAAATTCTGTTTTTGGTTTTGTCATTAAGGTATTTCCAGATTGAAATAAATAAGAAATGAAATTTGATTGACGAGCTCACCTTTATAGTTGACTTCCTTGCTCCTTGATTGCAACGGGCCAGTTATTATGGAATCTAACACATATAGGGTGAATGGGATGGTTTTCCACCTGATCAGTCTCCTTCTGGAGTACTTATCACAGTGTCATTTGAAATCGCAGCGGATTTTGAACCCGACGAGGCATAAATAGCACAGTTCTGCTTGCTGCGGATGCTGAGGGTCGGGAGAGGTGGGTTTAGGGCGAGGCC